GTCCAATATGGTTGGAGGGGAAGCATAGTAGCTACACTACAGCTACATTGTTACAGAGTAAGCCTTCCACCTCATTCGATCGGTGTTCTGGTACTGAAAACAGGGCGAGTCTTCCGTCTGACCGAGCTAGAACGTGGGGTATCCTACAAAACCATCTTGCCGGAATTTCATATTCCTGAGGCCGTGTCCTATCCTACCCCCAGGCCAGGTGTAGGCGTCCCCCATCCCTAATTCTATCCTAAGGTTGGGGGAAGGGGGGACAGGGTTGCGTAGTAGAACCAGCCGTACGTCGCGTTTTTTATAGATCCCGGACAGCGTGACCCCTCAGAGAAAGAGTGCCTCAACAGGGGAAAGCAGCTACAATATCACGCGTTCAATGGCGGGTCCTATGACGCAACCCTGTCTCCCCCAATCATGGGATGGGATCGACAGCGGGGACGCCTCCCCCTTAGTAAGGATAGGATACGGCTCTTGAAAGACATAGGGAAGAGAGCTTCTGGCTGTAATCTATTGATATTGTGACTTAACGACACTTAGGATAACATCAAACCATCGGAGACCGGTGGAGGAAGGGTGATGGGGGTAAAACATGGGTGGAACCACAATTCTGGGTTGGTGCAGAATCACTCACAAATTCCAAGGGGCTCAGTTGCTACTGGAACCACCAGATGGGATCTCCTCAACGAGTGGGTCATAACTGTGACTTTTCGATGAGGGTGGTGTTCCAGGGTTACCGAAAGCAGGTGGGGTATTTGTGCTGGAAGTGTACTGAAATAGACAGAACTCTTTCTTGTAGGCCTCATGAACTCCCTCCCCTCCCTTCCTTAGTGTTCCAACTGTTAGTAGCGGCTCTATTCTGGGACTGCGCAGGGAGCGGAGAGGCGAAAAACCTTTGAGAAGTGCGGTAGGTAGGCGCGCCAAGGAGAAACACTTAGATGTTGCCATGCTTGCGTAGGAACTGTGGATCAATTGTTTTGTAGGGAGGGGTTTTGAAGACGATTTTAACAAGCAAAACTGGTGTCTTCGTTACTTGACCACCCACTATGTCATTCAGCAGGCGCCATTAAATCTTTTGAGTTTACGATCAGTAGTAAATCATTCCTTCTTTTCCCAGTGGTAGGCGCAATCCAGTAGCTCTGAACTGCGGGTGCTTATCCCTGTCATTGTAACGTGCTCTCTCAGTGTAGCCCTCGTTCATCACCTCTTCAACCTTCCTCACTCTCACTTCCCATTCCAGAATGTTGGCCATGTTCGCCATTGGTCTCCTTTTTCTGGGCTCCGCCACCATCACTATCGGCCAACCACCTGTCCAGCAATATCTCATGGACGACGGTCTTATACTTCCATCAAAAGGCACCGAGCCATCTACGGCAGTAGCTGAACAGCCAAGCGATGAGGATATTCTCACGACGGAAGCGTTCGCACCTCCAAAACAGTACCGTCTACAACCACCTGTGACGGAATCACCGCGACAACGTCGTGACGCCGACGGGGACGAACTTGGTGGCGTGTTTTTCCAGTTTACACCACCACAGGATGACGTGGTGATGGAAAGCAAAGAAGTGCCAATATTCTTCCAAGAACTGCCTTCCATCGAGCCCATTGAAGTCGTTTCTCTAGAGGTATGTCCACGATTTATCTCTCTTTGGTTTTCAGGGAGCCATTCAAGAACTTAAAATTATCGACGATCCTTCGGAGGCGGCAAAACAGTGCGATGAACTCTGGGTAAGATTACACCCGCATGATCTATATTGTTTAGAGTTTGTGTTTATTTGATCTGTAAAAATAGGAATTTCCAAAAGGAGCGGTGCACATGAAAATTCCCTGAAAATCATCCACTTTTTCTGTAAGGCTTTTTCGTAGCCTGTACAAGATTTCAATACCTCTTATTAGGCTTAGAAGAGACCGAAACGTGAGCAAAAGGGCTGAAATCCCGGACAGGCTACTACGAAACCGTACAAATCAGCTTCAATTCAACTTTCATACCAGGTCTAAGAAGACGTACAAATCAGCTTCAATTCAACTTTCATACCAGGTCTAAGAAGACGTACAAATCAGCTTCAATTCAACTTTCATACCAGGTCTAAGAAGATAGTTTGTTTTTGGACCAACCGATGAATGCATGTTTTTTTTTTGTTTTTTTTTTCTGAATTCCATTAGTTTCTTATTCGGAACTGTTCATGTAGGGTGGCAAATATTTCGCTGTAGCCTAATCTTCTCAGAGGGAGACGGTTGGTGGCAAGCATCGCTAGTAATTCTAGGATCTGCTCAGTTCGTGCAGTTGAGCTTGGAGTTTCTGTTGGCACCATGTGTGGTGCTGCGGCCGCCGTCGCAGTTGACGCCGGAGACATCGATGCACATGGCAGCTCTTGTTTGCTGTGATTGCGTTACCCGTTCACGTATTGGGTTGATGCATAATTTTTGTGGATTTTTTCAACAAATTTTATTCAGCGAAAACGAAAAAAAATATTGACAAAACATGTTTGAATGATTACCCCGGAGCGTGGTCACCTTTCTTAAAAATGCTTTCCCAATTTGCTTGGCAGTCGCTCATTCCACGGTTTGAAAGTTAAGTCACGATCTTGAAGAACGATCACGCTCTAACATTAGCCACCCAGGTCATTCCAGTTCGCGTCGTAAAATTTTTTCTAGTTGGCCAGTTTTCAAGGCTGATTGAATGGTAGTACTGAAGGAGTTCCGTTCCGCCGGGAATAATGGCGTTTTGATTCTCTTGAACCATATTTCACCTTGGCTTTTGCCGATTGTCCAAATCGCCGAAAAGAATCGTTAAAATCGGCGAAATGACGCTGCCGTCTTTCAACCTTTCTCGAAATGGTAGAGCATATGTGGATGACTGTGAAGATAATTTTCGATAAGCAGTCCTGTTATTAGAAGAGAGAAGAATATGTCCATAAAAATAATAAACAAAACAGCAATCGAAAAAGAAGGCGCAAACAATCCGCAGTATTATGCAATCAACCCAATATTCTGAAAGTGCCCTCCCAAATCGGAAAGATACTCTGGGTAGTTGTTCCGACGCTGCCGATCGCGGCTGCGCTTGTCCTCTACCTGCTTCCTTTTTGGAACTGCTTGCATATTTGGAATGAAGAGCGCTTACCTTCAGATAATCTTTCCTATTATGGATCTCGCAAGCAAGTGATCTCATCTCCATGCAGGGTTGGGAGCATCGGGCGTTGGCGGCTTCCTGTAGTTTACCTCATAGGCCTTAACCGTAGCGTCGCTGAGGTTCAAAGGTATTTCAGTAACCTTTGCCGTCTCTGAATAATGTTTGTTTTGCGCTAAAACTGATCATTCTTATTGAGCAACCGCCTCTGTAGTTGCAGCTACAAGTTTGACAACTCGGTAGACATAGGACAACTGGTTGCGAGCTCTGAACCGGAAGACGTAGCCCTGCTAAACCCCTATAACTCAGCGCACTTGTGACATGCTCGTACCAGAATCAAAGATAAACTAATTGTCAATGTCAGTCCAGGTTCTTGCTGTCCGGTATCACATAAATATTCTCAGGATGTTCTCGTGTTTCCGCGGCAATTAGCAATGAGGAACTATAAAACATTTTTTATCACAAGTATGCCAAGTTTTGGTTCATACCGGCGAATATAATCCTAAAGCCTTTGTGATTGCTGGGCAAAAAGGCGTGCCGCAACAATATCACCAAGGCTATTTTCGCTTTAATTGGCTCGGAATTTCGGCAGTACATTTGCCTCAACTTATTAGTTAATCCGCTTATAAGGGGCCCTGATACGTAGGACAAAGGAACACTGATAGTTAGGATAAAGCGAAGTGTGGCTTCGGGGGTGTAATGGTCGCTTTTGCTCGATAAGTGCACGTTATGGTTCGGTTCCTCGCCATGGCAAAGTGTTTTGTCCATAAATTTATCAGAATTTGCAGCGATAAATAGCAGGTAACAAAGTTATCCAAAAAATGTACTGTACTTCAAAATGAGATATATATTGAAGCTACTGCTTTTTAAGGTACTTCTTAAGGTTTTATGGTGGCGGTAGTAAAAATGAAAAAGATCCACACAGCAACAATTTTGTTGATATCAGAAGCTGCGAGAACGACTGTGCATAAATAAATCAAAGAGAACTTTGAAGAAATGGCGCACATCAAAGCGTTGTGGCGATTACGACTCTCGCTGCAAGCCGACCGCATACGGTAATTTTGGCGAGAAGAATGCAGTAGCACGTTCTATCGGCGGTCAGTTCTGTGCAAAGTGTCAGAATGACCAAACTATCTAGTGATATAACCTCGAGTTACTAGTTTTCCCGACAGGCGGAGGAGGGAGAAGGAAACGGGAGGGCGGTTGTGCAGTTCAGCTCCTGCCCCCCCCCCCCAAGCCAACTCCATCCTCAAACAACACAATCACCTGGTTATCCAGTACAGTCGATATCCGAAAGTTGGGGTAGGTGTGTCACCGGAAGTGACGTGCACTTGATAGAAGTTGCGTGGATAAGCTGTTGCCAGCATGCTTTGCTGATATCCAGCGATGTATGTTGGAAGCAGCTTATCCACGCAGCTTCTATCAAGTGCACGTCACTTCCGGTGACACGCCTACCCCAACTCACCGATATCGAGTATACCTTGAAAATTATTTTTCCTAAACTTTGACATCAATCGGCACGCCTCCTATCTTTCCTCCCATTGAAGAAACGGCACACGCAAGCTTCAGTCCACCCATTTCATCCTTTTTCGTGGGAATTATTCCGCCTGAATTGTGCAGCGAACCCCATCCCAACAGACCCCTCCTTCCCCTCTAACGCCTACCGACCACTCGATGGCTCCTAACACAACTACTACAAAATCTCAGAGTAATCACCACCTTCTCACAATAACGGCAGGAGAAATATGACCCACTTTCCGTGCGTAAAAATATCGGTCTCTCCTCATTACTATTATAAACAGGTGGTTGGTCCTGCTCAGGGTTCGAGCGCGAGAGCGTCACACGAGGATGAGTGAAATTCTGCGAATGTGGCAGAAGCTTCAGTCTGTTCCGCCTCCACCTTTCTTCTCATCGGATTTGTCGCCCCATTCCTGCAGTCTTTTTAAAAGGCTATTACTGCAGCCTGTACATCAGTATAACGCTCCTACACTTTCACTTTGTTCCCCGTGGGAGGAATGAAGGAGGAGAGAGGAATGGAGGGAAGAGGTGAGGGCAAACGGGGTGATAGTACTACTTGTTGACAGCCCTTACAAGTCAAGCGAGTATATACTGACGGTTACGACTGATGCTATACGCCGCTGATTTGTGGTTGACTAGTATTAACTTCGAAAAGTTCTTTGGAGATTAATGAGGAGAGACTGTCGAAGACTTTCCATTTGTCTGAGTCATCAGGGAGTATTTTGAAATCTTGGCATGTGGGTTGGGAGGGGGTAGGGAAGAAAAGGGGCAAGTTTTTTTTTTCATATCAGTTTAGCGTGATGGTTGGCCCTGTTCAGCAAGTCGTCGATCGCGCCAACTCGTGCTGTCCCTCCTCCCGATCTACCCCCTCTTCTCCACGGACCACCACCTTTTACTGTGTGAGAGGGTTAGCTGCAGAGCTAACCTATGAATGTAATTTTGCTGGAGCAATTTTCATGTGCCACGCTCCCTCGATATTATCATGTCGTGCATGGTCACGATAATTTTTCGAATAGTTAAAAAAAATTGTCCTCGTCGTGATTGTTTTGACGTATTCTGTCTCAGTGGCGGAAACGGAAGATCCTAAAGGCACGTCATCAGGGGAAGGTAAGTGAATGGACGTAAACGTCTGAAGATTGAGATCTGCGAATTTGTGGATTTGTGGCTTTCCTGCTATTGTGTTGTACCTCTGCCCATAACATCCCGTACGAAAGTGTCTCACGATCACTGGTCCATTTTCAGAACGATGATGAAGGTTCAGGACTACCTTTGGATCAGTTCAAGGATCAAGCAGGTGAGCATTCTTTTTATGTTCTACGCTATTCTTGGCGCATTTGCTATCATTCAGGCTAACTTTTGGGCAAATTATGGGTAAAGTGACTTGCTCTTTGTTCTTGAGCGATCAAAGCAGAGTTTTTGGGATAGTATGCACCCATCATTCTATGATTGCGCCATGCGAATGCACAGTCTCCATTGAACCTAGAGTGGTGAGAAGTAATGAGGAATTTCTTTAGACTCACTTCTTCTCGGATGGGCTCCTCTTGGTGAAGTAAGGCAACATTAGCCGTACGCTCCTTCGAAATCCACCAACAGCATGAAGTGCGATCTTTGAAAACAGATCATACAACAGTGCACATACATATAAGAGTCGTGGTACAAATCGCGCCGCGCGAATTTGCCGCTCTTCGCGTGCGACAAAAGTGCACGGCAACCGTACCGAGGAAATTGTCATACACTTTCTGGGGGCGGATGCCGCAAGGAACGTCAGGGGATGGGTCCCCCAAAACTCTGCATCTCTGGACTATCCCCTATTCTTAACTGCGTCATAAACCGGAGTAGAGTAGCAGTTTTGGAGATCCATTCCCGGCCGGGTCTTGTTGCACCCTGTCCCTGGCCTATTACGTGCGATGTAGGCTACTTACTTGAGTAAATATATCATAGGCAACATGTTCTTTTTCTGCTTGGGATCCATAAATAGCCTTACTATGTTAATCATGCTGCAATCTCACTCATCCAGACCGGCTACTATCGTAACCAGTAGAGTGTTAAGTACACTAGTTCTGACTGATTTTAGTGTACTTTAGATAAAGCAAAGAGTCGTGAGAAGGAATTCCCACCAGCACCGACACCACCACCGCCTCTACCTATGGATCTAGGTCGGAAACCATCTCACGGTTAGTCGCTTCATATAGGTCCAAAATTTTCCTAAAACACCAAGAATGAGCCATTTCAATCAGTCTCCTTGCATCTGTACATATATCTGCACTACTCTCACTCGAGTTCGATTGCGAGGTCACGGCGCGGCGACAAACACGACAACAGCGACGCGCGCTAGTGCGGCAATCAATTCGTTATGATTCATGCAGGTTGCCGCGCAGTGACCTAACAATATGATCGAAAAATTCAAAAAATCGATCAGTATTGACCCATGCACATTGTACTACTGTACGTATTAACCTACTGTACGCATGACATGAATTTTGTACTCAGATTTACGTCACATTATCCATTTTCTAGGTGAAAGTCCACGTTTCAGACCGCGATGAACGTGATCTGTTATATCCGTTTGGAGATAGCCTCCTACTGCCTTTTCACCGACACGGTCCAATACCGCACTCCTCTATAGGTCTCCTTGTCAGCACGATAGTAGTTTATGATCACTGATGATGTGTTTTGACCGAGTGTGCATGCCAACTGGAGATCGATCGATTATCGATCCGTATTGACTGATAGCTGGGACTATAACTCTGAGGGAAGGGATGAACTTCGCGCTTTTTCTGCTTTTGCACTCGAATTCGTTCTGAATAGCGGAGCCTGTTTTTG